CACCAGATACTTAGTAACAACAACTCATTTCCTGACTGGACACAACAGGCAAAAAGGATGGGCATGTTTCTCTTCACAACGCTGATTAGTTCAATCAGAGAAGATACACAGAGAGGCTGCAGGTTTTTGAGTGATTTCAGCCCGTAGAGACGAAACGACAAAGGACATCTTAAGTGGAGTGGCCTCTCCTCGTTTGTTTTTTTTGTTACAGGCCATAAAACACGTAGAAACGGATGTGATACCTCAGGGGACATAAAGAAGTATTAAAGCTATCCATCTAGACGGGAAATGTAAAGTGAGAAATAAAAATAGAATGCTTTTTGCAAGTAAGATTTTGGTACTGTAATTTGTCCACATTGACCGACATGGTTCAGGTAATTATGTAATCCCCCCCTGACACTCGATAATTAGGATTCATGGCTTCGTGGTAGAGGAAGTGTCTGCCAGCCTGAGCTTTTTGCTCTGACTGTAGAACATCTGACCAAACACATAAACCACTCAGCCATAACATTAATCAGTCTGAAAATCTGAATCATGTTTTATTTCCCCAAGCAGATTTCTAATGTGTTAAACGTCCAAAAACACACGAGAAGCAACAATCCCCTGCAGTGTTTCTCTGTAGTCACAATTGAACCGCCTCAAAAGCTATTTGGGGGCATTGATTAATCTCAAGTCAATCCCCAGCCAACAACAGCCAGGGATCAAGGCAGATTTGGTAGAACAACACGGACCAAAGAGCCAGCGGGGGAACAAAGAAAAAAGTAATAATAATTCTTTCCTGCATAGCTTAAAACAAAAGGTTTCTCAGAATTCCTGCGATCACGAAAAGCCTCTTGCAGCGTTTCCCCAGGAACCTTCCCACACTTTCAAAACAACACTGAAAAAGTGTCCAGCAGTCATCGGCCAATGAGGCGCTGATCGTACTACGTCTGCTGAGGTCAGGACCCCTGCCTCTGGAAACAATCGCACTCCCACACTAGTCTGAACGCTCTCCGCCTTATTCCATCCCTCCTACTCTGACTGCGGACTTATTAAAAGACAAATTGTCTGGAGGGAGTGCAGGTTGGTGGAGAGAGGAAAAACAAAGAAAGGCTTTCGTGTCATCAGTGGCACAGGATCCGCCTCAGAGGGGTCAGTGGTTCACAGGAGAGTCATGATAGTAGTAGTAATGGTGGTCAGAGCTGGCAGGCCTGCAGTCTGCAGCTAAAGAGGTCACCTGTTGCTGAGTAACAGCACCGAGTGAAGGGACACGGCAGTATTTAAAGCTTCCTTGAGGATAAGCCAAGTGGACAGTGATGAAACAGCCTTCTTCTAATATGTGTGCCAGCCTCTGACGGGTCAAACGTGTACCCTAACTGATCCCGAAATGTGATCCGTCAGCAGCCTGGTGGGGCGGAGAGAGCGGCGGGGAGAAGGCAGCGTCTCCAGGGACGCGTGTGTGTTTGCGTCTGTGTGTGTGTGTGTGCAAGATCTGCATTTTGCTTTGGCTGCTAGGCAGAATAGGACAAACAGTTTAACAGAATTGACTGAGTGAGCACAGAAAGGGAAGAGCCAGGGCTGTGACGGATAATACTTAATAAAAACCACAGCGAGGTACGACTGAGAATTAAATGTTCATTCCTGTTGTTTTCTCTCTAATCTGGTGGGGACACATACACGCACACACACACACACAACACACACTTTAGGAGAGAGACTGAGAGCAACTGTTCTTTCTAAATTTGTCAGAGGGAGAGAGCAGAGAACACAACCCTTGTGCTTATGCGAGCATGTGTGTGTGTGTGTGTGTGTGTGTGTGTGTGTGTGTGTGTGCGTGCGTGCGTGCGTATCAGAGAGCGCAGACAAGCCGTCCCCGTGGGTGTTAAAGCGCCTTCTCTTCCTAAATTGGGCCCCACCTCTTCTCCTCCTCTTTAGTAAAATAAACGGCCCTCTACAGTCCCACTATGTCAGGCCACCCTACGTCCGACGTCTTGGTGTCTCCGTGAGCATGTAACAGAACATTAATAATGCACACAAGCACCAATAACACTCACGAGTGTGTTAGTTTCCGAGTCATCGGTACTACAGACTAGTTAATGTAGAGGCAGTGGGTCTTTTGTAGGCCGGGAGGAATCGATTAACATGATCCTGCATGTAGAGAGGGGGCAGCCGCATGTGTATTTGTATGCAAAGAGGCTGCAAAGTCAAGACAATAAACAGGTTATTAAAGACAAACTGTGCACAAACAAAGGGTTATAACAACAGTATGAATTCCAGTTGTATTTTTGCAGCAAACTGAGTTCATACACCTCGTCTGGAAGGCGGCGGGGACATGCAGACAGCAATCTAATTAGAGCTGACCTCTCCATTCACCCCACGTCAATAACAGCTTCTCAGTATCATTAGCCTGTAAATCACAGAGGTTGCCCCCCCCTCATAGCTGGAGGTCACAGCCACTGTCCGAAGCTTGTAATGGATCAGCAATTCAATGAGGAGAATTTAGGTTATTGATCATTTAGATCTGTGGGTCATAGCGTTGCCAAATCAGACGGAGATGGTGTCAGAGTGTCAGAGTGTTGGAGGCAACAGTAAACAGCGGAGACTGCAAATCGAGAACAAAAGCCGGGTATTGTTTCAAATAAAGTTTGTTTTCTCGTTTACTCCAGAAGTGTTACTCAACCGAAGAACAGAAGCCTCAGCGAGTCACCTTCGTACAAGATGGAGTGGCTCCTCAGAGACAAACGTTCACCATAGTAACGCCGAGAATGGTATGCTGTAAATCTGTCGGAGCAGAAAGAGAGAAAAGAGGCAGAAATGTGCACACGGTGGCTACTTCCACACACGAGCTGCCAGGTTTTGTCCTTATAGTCTCTGGAGGAGTGCTATAAAACCACTAAAAGAGAGATATATACGAAGCCAAATTAACTACACCCTCATTTCACTGTTCGCTAACAAAGTAGAGAAGAACATGAGGTAAAGTTCAGACGCTGTGCCCGTTACATTACCATAGAGATGTGGGGCCAGAGCTGGGAAACGGGGTGACGGGTCAGAGGGAATGCCCTACTGTGTGTGTATGCATGCATACACAAAGATAACATCCTGACACACACACACTCACTCTCTCTCTCTTCCTCCAAGGGCACCAGAAGTACCCTCAGTGTAAATTGCATTGTCCTAGAAAAGCAAGCAGCTCCTCCCCTCTGAGCCGAAGTAAATTGAGAAGGGGTTTACATTAATGGGTGTGTGTGGGGGGGGGGGAACCATCTCACGGTAATTCCGGGTGGGGGGTAAGTCTCCTCGAGAAATGGGTAGCCTATATCCACACAAAATTAGAAAAATGAAAAAAATTGCTTGGAGGGTTTAAGGATGAACAGGTTTAGAAGAGCTCCATTTGACCCTCTTGTAGGGAGAACGGGGGACGGGTGGAGGTTAAAAAGCTACATTTCAATGTTAACTCTTACACTCGCCAAACAATGTGTCCTTTTCTGAGGTGAAATAAAGAATGTCTAAAAGGTGGATTGGATTTAAACTACCGTGACAAGCCATCACCACCTGGACTTTCACCAAATACCAGAACAAGCCTTCAGAGAATGTCAAACATAAAATAAATGTACTGAAAACACCTGGATAATAAAACTGAAGCCCAGCTACCATGGTTATTGTGACTATGTGATATAACATCTAGGACATTTTCCCCCAATTCACCGCAACCACAGACATGTCAGAACATGTCTGCTTTCCCAAAACAGCTTATCCCTCTGGGACTCCTCCGACAAAAGCCATATCAAGGTCAGTGCATCTGTACTCTGGGATGTCTTGACCGCGATGAGGAGCCTTAGGAGGTCCCGATGCATCTGCTCTGCAGTGCCGAGGTGAGGGCACAGCAAGCCCGTGTTTGGGGTTGTTTTCTCCTTGTTTTCCTGCCTGGTTCAATAAGCTATGCTGCATTGGCTCCCTGTGACGCAGGGTCCTGATCAATACTGGGTCTCGGGGGCAGCGGAGCGGGGAAGCGAAAGGACTCAACAGAGAATATGCTTCACAGGCTGGGTAATGTTGTGATCAAGTGTAGCAGCGCGGCTAATGCTGTGCAACCGTGTCAGTGTTGTTTTCCATCCAACATGGGTGCACGCACTGCTCCTCACACGAGACCAAAAAGAAAGAATCACAACTCGCATACTGAGAATTTAACGCTGAACGGATCAATTGAAAGAGGCAAACATTCAGCGGCCATTTTTCGCTACTTTCTGGGATTTAATCCAGAATATAAACCAATAGATTAACCGATGATGGATACAATCATTAGCTACAGCCGTACACACAGGTCAGTGGGACAGTGACCATCTGTGGAAAGACACCAGATCGAGGGGCGCCCCATGGCCCAACTACAGTGCTCAGGCAGACAACAAAATTACTTCTGCAGTCATGAACTCCTCTGTGAGCCATGTACAGTATGTGGTATGCTTGTACCAATCACTCGGAGCAAAACCATTAAGGCTAGCAAAGCCCCGGCATACCAGATGAATCACAGAATACCTGTCAAGACGTGCACAAAATGATTTGCCAAAGGAATACAACCGGACAATCTGCTAAACATCAAAGCATGTTGCGTTACTGCTGCGAGCCTTCTGTGCGCACACACACACACACACACACACACACACACACACACACACACACAGCAGTGTTATGGAGACACACACTCAAGACAGTACAGGATCATTAATCATAAGCAACCCAGTTCTGCTTCTCGTCCCACACTCCTCTCATGTTCTTCCGGCCCGTTCATGGTTGACTTTGCAGATTCTGTATTTACCTCGATGTGGTGCAGAGGTTGCATGCCGCGGAGAGAGGACAAAGGGGGGGCTGGTGGGGGCGAGTGCATTTTGTTGAACTCTGGAGGTACACATACATACATACATACATACATACATACATACATACAAGACCAAACCAGCTAAAAGCCGCCTTCTTCATCTATCAAAATGCAGACATTAAATAAAATGAATGACACGACGTCTTACCCAAGTAGAGAGATGCATTTTCTTTCTTCACGTTGTCGTCCAGGTAGGTGGGCCCCAGGGTGTAGATCGGCGTGGACCCCATGCCCACAAGTATCTGGGCACATATGAACAGAGTCACATACAGGTTGTGCTCGTTGCCTTCCTGGTCGCGGGGGCACGAAGCCACGTCGAGCTCGCGCCCACTGCCGTTGCCGGTCTGACAGAGGCCTTCGCGGCCCATCGAGGAGTTCACCTCCTGGATCTGGTAGGGCGGCGAGATAAAGTGGGGGAGGGAAAACAACGCCGCCCCTACGGCGATGATCACACCACCCACAGCCAACCACCGGGGCCTCTGGCCCCTGCCCCCGAAGTAGGAGATGAAGACCACCACCAGCAGGCTGCCGATGTCGAAGCAGCTGACCAGCAGGCCGGACTCGGAGCTGCGCAGGCTGTAGCGCTTCTCAATGGTGGTGATGACACTGCTCAGGTAGCCCGAAACCATCAGGGACTGAATGAAGGTCAGGTAGCACATGCAGAACAGGAAGCAGCGGGAGTCCCTCAGGATGACCCGTGCATACTTCCTGGCTGGGATGCAGATAAGGCGGGTGAGAGAGAAACCGAGTTTTTTACCGCCAGCGGCCCTGCGGCCCTCCACGGGTAGAGAGCTACTGAGTCCCACCATGCTGGAGGCCGAGGGGGAAAAGTCCATCCTGGAGGAGGGAGTCTCCGCCTGACTGGAGTCTGGGGTTTTGGACCGGAGCTCGCTGGCCTCCTCCACGGCCACACAGGCGGCCTTTCGATCCGGTGGACAGGGTCCGTTCAGGATGGGCAAGCTTTTGGACTTGAAGCAGGTCTCCGGGTCCATCGTATACTGGTCCTGGAGCTCACGGATCTCCAGAGACTCGGACAGATCGCTCCCCGTTTCGTCATTGTCCGATGAAGTCATGGTGCGGCCGGAGATGCAGCTTCTGTTGGCCCCTGGCTGCGCTGAAGAATCAGTCAATAACTCTACTGCCACATGAGGACACGGTGGAGCTGCTGCTGGAGAAAAGACCTGCCAGCGGGTCGGACCGAGCCCCTCTAGTTATGTGCATGTTTTATTCCACATAGCTTACAAGCCAAGAGGGAGATCTTGTCTGAATACAGAGGAACATCAGCTTCCTTATCTTAACACTTTAGAATATTGTCTGAGGAGTAAATTTTCAATAAATATCTTATACGGTTAAAAAATGATCATATACAGATAACAAAAAGGTGCTGTCTTTTCAATGTTCCCCCAAATTAGGATTCCATGTGGATTTTATGGCTCTTTGTTAGATTCATTGGGGGTTTTGTAGCCCTTGTCCCATAGATGTGCAGCATCCTATAAAAAAAAAAAGGATAAAAACATGAAAATAAAATGTTAACATGTTTCAAAAAATGTTGCTACTTGCAAAGTAGACATGAATACATATATACCTAGAAGTAGAGACAATATAACCGCTTTCACTTCTGGCTTTATGGTAATATGTCCACCCTGGATTAAACTGGTCACTTCATAACGATAAATCGCTAACGCTAGACACATGGAAATATCACAATAAAAACAAAGAAAATGTACCTACACGGCCCAACAAACGCATATGTGTATAGGTGTGATACTGTCGCAGCGGGGAACCTTAAATAACAACGAGCGTTCCTTTGTCAAAACGAGAAATATATGTAGAGAACAAAAGACCACGCTGTCCACAAACGTCTCACTCATGACTTTGAAAAGAAATTTTAAAAAAACCCGATTCAGCACGAGACATTTCTGAAATTAAGCGACGGTAAGTCTCGGCCTCGACTAAAAACGGCGACAAATATTATTTGACGTAACTTGAGTGAAAGGCTGGAGGTTCAGAGGGCTGTAATACTCACACAGGACAGAGGGAGGTAGCCTGTTGTTCTCACGGAGCGGCCACTCAGCGAATGAGGTCTGTTTGATGCGGATGGCTGCTGCTGGTGGGCAAATGCTGCCTTCGAGGGCTGTTGTAAATTGTAAAATTCAGAGATCGAAGCACCAATAAAGCGGAGGGGGAAATGCTGAAAGAGGTTTGATCACTTACACTCATTAGTACATACATATAAAAGGTGATATAGATGAAGATTATACAAAGTGATTTACTAACACATTTATTAATTATTGATATTATCCATGTAGACTTACCCTACTGCTTTTATAAAGTAGCTTTGTGATACTTGAGCTCTAAAATTAAAAAGAAAATAATTATCATCACACATGTCTTGGTCTTCTTTGCTTTTTTTTTTTTTTTTTACCAAACACACAAAGATGTGACAACTCTTATTTACAACCTTCCAGATACACTGAAACCCAACGAGGAGAAGGTAACTTGAATGCAGCAAACGTGCGTATGAATTATTTGTGTCCTCAGACACATTGGGACTTGTAGTTTCTAACGTGAAACAAACGTGCGTTCAACTCGCTATCTAACAAACGTTACAATATATAACTGCGATGAGAAACAGCGACTCTCTGAGACATGGCGTGTGTGGAAATGCCAGTGCATTCATATTTTCATTCGTTAATTTCGATTACTGTATGACATCGTATACCAGCATGCTTTTCGTCCCATATGGTGGCTTGTTAAGCGCATATGGACCGCACGGGACCCTTGCTGACCCAGCAGTGATTGGTAGAAAGGATTCTGATGGCCATTGCAACAATACATTTGGTACATTTATAAGGTAAACATTAATAATATTGTAATATATAAATAAAGGTAATTGATTCTGTATCTGTCTACATAAACATTTGACACTATATTTTTGAAAGGTAAAATGCCACTGAATGGAGATTAATTGGAAAACGTCGTTGCTGACAGAGAATTAACTTGCACCTTTTTGTAGAGAGGGAGTTGACTCCCAGTGCCTGTCAACGGGATGGATGACTTACCCCAAGGTCATTAATTCATTTCCTGGACTAAGTAGGCGGGTGATCAATCCCGCTCCTCCTCCTCCACTCCTCATTCTGATGCTCTTTGGTTCCTTCTTGGAGGAATAGTGTTTGAACGAAACCTGAATGTCAAATCTCTGCTTCACTACCCAAAATTGGTTACGTGTGAAAGCAAATGTCTAATATTTTTGTGACGTCTCCAATCATCAAAAACACTTTGTTTTAAACTAAAGTGACACACAAGCTTAGTTTTTATTTCCCAAAGTGTGAAGACTCATGCAGTCCACCACCTTGTTGGTGCCTGATGGAGAAAGACTGTCTTTCATAGGGATCAGTGAGAAGCATCATGGTCCTCTGTGGCCTCTGTTCAGGGGTTTTAATGTCCCTCTCTGGCTATCAGCATGCAGAAGGCCAATCAATACCTCAAACCACCATGAATACAAAACAGCACAAAGGGAAGAGAGGAATTATTCCACAAATAGTGGCACTGTATCATTATGGCATTATACCTCTGCAATATTGGGAACTCTCTTATAGAGGCAAAAGTTGTTTGCATTTAATTAATCAATGTCAATTTAACATCATGAGATCAAATCAAGACAGGCATTCGGACAGTCACCCTATAGTTGACACCACACACTTTAGAGAGCGGCGTTGTGTTGTAGTAAACATTTTCTTTTCACACCTAAATTTGTGAACTTAGTCCATTTTATATTTTGCATATTTTGAAGTCCAACACAATACTGCATCTCTAATTCTTTGCAATCAAGTAGAAGGAGTTCAAGAGGAGGAATATGTAACACACTGTTTATATTCTTTGTCCACAGCAGATTTATTTTTGCCAGACAAATGCCATTGAGTTAGAGAAGATAGGGAAGTTGCAGGGGCATTCAGTTCTCCCAGAGTGTGACTGGAGACAACAGGAGTGGCTGTCTAAAGGTTAACATGTTCATGCTTCTTATAAAATAGTTCTAATGTATACAGTACAGCTTCAGAAGACTCAGCTGCAGAAGAACAAAACGTGTCTGTTTTTGGTGCAGAAAAACAAACACAAAACTTCCCGTGTGGAGGAGTGAACCAGTACAATAGAGACTGAACAAGCATGCCTGCATTTCTAAAAGGGGGGGGGGGGTCGTTACAAAGCTTTCCTTCATATCTAAATGTTTCCCACAGTCATCGCCAACCGTTATTGCTGCATTGCATTTCTCATAATACCCAGCAATAAAACAGCCTCTTATTAGAGCAACTGTAAAAATCTGTTTATCGCTCATAGGGGGTCAGAAATCAAATCTATTTAAAATATCAATATTGATGGGCATAATTCAGACCAGTGTTATGCAGAAATTGATCGCTCCCCATTGAGCTGGCTCTTCAGATGGTGATAAATGTTTTATAGAGAGAAAATTCAATCAAACCGAGAACCATTTACAGTGTGATGGAGCAATGCACTGATTTCTAAACTGCGCACTGCTTCCACAAAGGAGAGAAATACAACACCACCCCCTGGTGCGCGATGTAGTTCAATGAGGCCAGTGTCTGCCGAGAGGCTGTGTTTCTGAACAAGACCAGTAGATGGCGCCCAGTCCTCAAGACTGTAAGCATCAAACAGATTTGAATTAGTAAAAGATCTGTCTTAGAAACCAAAATCGAATTATCTCATCAGGTTACTGGTGGAAATGAGTTGGAACGATGTGTTTACCAGGTGCACAGTCTAACCAAAGTTAATTTGGTTTTGTCTTCCTTTTCCACATAAACATATAAAATTTACTCTTTACAGTGTTTAAAATGCTTGTTACAAAGATGTTGTGCTTGTGAGATATCTTCCTGTCAGTCACTGAGTGATTACATCATCACCATCATCATCCTTCGCCATCATCTGCAGCCTGGTCCGACACTTCCCATGGCCTTGGGCCGGTCTCCCCCTGCTCCATCCCACACTCTTCCTGTTAACCATCCCAACTCTATTGACATTACAGGAATCACTAATGAAACACAGTCTGTTTCTCAGCTCACCGTGTCTGCCTGTGGAGCTATTAAAGGGCCTCACACACAAACCTATGCAGACATGTGTGCTCATAAATATACTGTACGTTCCCATCCCCCCAACAGTTCACGCATACACACAGCAGTCTTTTCCTGTATGTGTAGCCTTGGTTATCATATCCACCCAGTAACATACGGGAAAATGCAACGATGACAGACATTGAAGTGTTTGCATCTGTAACTGGAAGTCAGGGGTGCTTCTAGTTCCAGGACTCCAGGATACCTGCCTCATAAGGAAGCATAATTAAACCTGAATAATCAGCGGGCTCTTCATCTCAGGGCCTCTTGATTGTTTTTTTGCATCATGAGAAGAAAGGTGAAGGAAACAATCCATCCGTCTCTGACTGTTGCACGGCTTCATCAGCTAATGGCTTTACAACAGCACTCAAAGATATAGGAGGACTCTATGCTTGAACTATAATCCTCTGTGGTACTGTTTTACCACATTCTGTTTACTGGAAAGGCATCCTTTTAAATTAGCAGTCCTCCTTTGTGCTGCATTCTAAGGTCAACATTCTTGTGATGTGGACAGACTCCCTGGTCTGCTGTCGGGACTACTCCCCAAATTAGGTTACCCATTCAGAGGGGCTTGCAACTGGGAACTTTGCAACCCAGAGAGCGGCTGATGCATATGAATAAGGCAAGCAGATCAGGACAGAAGGGTGGTGTAGTAATTGTGTTAAAAAAAAGTGCAAGCGCCCCAAAATAAAGACCCCCAGTATAAGCCTGCGGAGCCCCCCTCACTGTGCAGAGCAATCCCAGCAGATTGGGCCCCATGCTTATGCAAAAGTCATCACCCCCATCCCTTCCAGACCCATCACCCTCAACCCTATACCATCACCTCCAAAAGCCTGATTGGTAGGCCAGGTCACCCAATGAGCGGACATACACACAGGACCCTCCATGACAAAGACTGGCTGAATGTCCCTTTCCTAATAAATCACCAGGACATTAACAAATATGTTCATTGGTAACAAGAGCACAATAGCTCCATTGCCTGTAGAGACTTTTAACAGTGATAACAGAAAGATGACCTGAGAATTCCCCCCCCCCTGCTGAGGGGAGAATTGGAAAACATTTGACTGATTATGGATTACTGCAATGCAAATTTTTCATATCAAGAAAGCCTGAAAAAGGCAATAAAAGTCTTAAATGTTAGAATACAGCATACTCCTTCTTCTTGTGGGGAATTTACTGATTTAATTTCAGTGTCTAGTATAAAATAGAATATTTGCAGTCAGTTACACACATCTGCCATCTCACTTTAATCCAATATAGCTAAACTAAATGTGAATTAATGAATGCAAATCGAGATGTTGTATTTCACAGAACTCTTCCTGTTGTATATTACATTATTATTAAGGTTTGCTATCAATCTTGCACTGAAAACAGCAATGGCAGCTCATCTTACAGTAATCAATAATCAAAGCTACTTCTTTTGAATCAAATCACCATCTCAATACTAGTTACATGTCTTCCTCGTCAAAATTGATGATGAATGAGAAAAAGACATGTGTCAGTCATTTATTTTAATTTCAATCAAAACAGAAGTGCACATGCAAATAAATGAACTCAACTCATGTTGTTTAATGGACTGATGGGCCGCTTCTAGTATTAGTTGAAAAAAAGGCAGTTTAGCTGCATACTCAGCATGACTGTCCTTGGAGAAGAGACCCTGAGTTTACTGTAAACAGTGGGGCTGTTTCAAGCCCTCTTCAATTCCCCTAACACATATGGAAATGGGCCATACCTTTAAGGCTTTGTCCTCCTCCAAGAGTATCCACACAGCCTTCACACTGTTAAAGGAGTGACTGCCAAACATTTCATATTCATGGCCCACAATTACCTCCATATGAATGGGAATAATTGCCCTTTAGAGGCTTAACTGAAGTATGTATGCAATTTTCAGGCCTTTGGGCTAAGGTGATCAGCCACCTAAGCAGAGGGTGTGCTCTATCATCTGTTGGAGGGAAGGAACATCTGACC